GCTTCACCAACTGAGCCACCACAGTGCCCCTAAAATCTCGCAAGCATATTAAGAAATAGAGGATGTTAGGGTCACACAGGCAGAAGACCAGGATGGAGAGAATCAACGACATCAAAATGAAGGCGAGGGGCACACTCTCTAGTCACAGCTGCGAGGGATATTTTACGAAGGAGAAGAAATCGTTTAGGATAATGTTTACTGGTGGAACTCAGACAAATGACTGGGAATGAACGAAGGGGAATGATATGCATGGAATGTTGAATGCTAAGCAGTGTAACATTCAAAGTCAGGAAAGACAAAATGTGCTGTCTGTGAAGTGGGACCCTGAAGAACATGTCCCTGGGCCATCTAATTATCACACATTTGACATCATATTTATGAATTCCTGATTTCTTGTCAAAAGGGGGACAGGAAAGCCAGAGATGAAAAATCAGGAAGTTGTTGACAACTTCCTATCTGGTTGTGCTCATTGAAAGGCAGGGCCCCAGCCAAATGTGGCTACCCTCCTCCTTTTTTAAGAGAGTTCGCGGGGTGCCTGGGTGGCTCAGTCAGTTAAGCATCTGACTTCAGCTCAGGTCATGATCTCGTGGTTCACGAGTTTGAGCCCCGCGTCGGGCTCTGTGCTGATGGCTCAGAGCCAGGAGCCTGGTTCGGATGCTGTGTCTCCCTCTCTCTCTCTGCCCCTTCCCTACTCACACTCTGTCGCTCTCAAAAAATAAACATTAAAAAAAATGACACCCCAGTAAAAAATGAATAAATTTGTGCATGTTTAAAAAAAAAAAAAGAGCGTCCGCTCTGGCTCGTGGGGCCCACATTAATGCTGGACGTAAAAGGGTCAGGCAGTCATTTGGGGTGGAGGTTTCGTGGTATTGCCCACGGGCTGTTGAGGCCTCTGTGTTTCTGTCCACTTAGTGGGGAGGGAGGTTAGCGGCCCAGACTCCATCAGGCAACGACTCTTTCCACTTCTGTAGCAGAAGGAGAGACCTTTGGTGAGCAGGCCCAGGAGCAGGTGGCCAGAAAACACAGAGAGCTTGGACGGTCTTGGGAAGGAAGGCCAGGCATTGGCATCACGGACCGGGCTAAGCAAGGCTCCTCAGCAGCCCTGCGTGGCCAGGACTCTGGTCACCTCTGCACGGGCACACAGGCAAAGACCGGGAATGGTACGCAAATCACAATGAAGACCCTCTTTGTAAACAGACTGGGGGATGAAGAAACCTCCAAATTGTCTTTCTCCTGTAGCAGCAGAACTGCTGGCCAAGGGCAGGTGAGGGCGGGTTCTTGCCTTGTTTACGGAGGCGGGTGCAACGGTGGGGGTGCGACCATGGGTCCGGGCCCCCGTAGGTTCAGACACGTAACGAAGGGTGATTTTTGTCGGCCTCTGAGCCCGACTTTATCATAGGTTAATGACGCCGAGACTGACATTTGCAAAACAACGATGGAGGTTTCAGCATCTGGGTTCGCTCTGCACAGGTGATGGCAACCGCTCCAGATAAAGTGGGTAACTCCATCCCGCAGACACAACACCCAGACAGCAAAATTCCTCCAGGTGCCCTCGCCCTGGGTGCCCCCAGCTGGAGTCCCCACGCCCCCAGAAGCACGGCCTTGGTTTCCCCTACCCTTCTTGCCCACGTCTGGGAGGGCGGCGGGAGCCTGGTCTCTGCAGCCGGGGCAGACGTGCCGTGATGTGATCCGCAGGACCCCCAGGTGCCTCTCAGGTTCTCCACCGGGAAGAGCTTGTATTCACTGGTTTCATTTTTCATTGGTTCCAAGAGATACGTGTTATTTTCAAATGTAATAAGTCCCCTGTTGAAAAAGAAAGAAGGAAAAAAGTATATAATTTTTAAAGGTAGCTTGTTGTTTATGGCCAAGGCCCTGTTCTTAACAAGGGAAGGAATGGCAGGAGAAAGGCCAATTTATTTATATCCTCGGGTTTTAAGGCCATTTCTGTGCAACATGTTTGCATGGATTTTCTTCTTGCAAATGTTTTGAAAACAATCTGGGAAATTTTTTTGTTTCAAATATTTCATGGTAAAGAATAGACTGCATTTAGCCTCTCTCTATTTTTTTTTTTAATTTCAATTTACAATTTTTTTTTTTTCACTGGCAAAAAGAGTTGAGAGAAACGATGTTTCCTCTGCCTTGGAAAATAACTCTATCTGAATTAGCAGGTGTGATTCGGGAGGGAAATCTTTTTCTTTAAAGGCAAATTCCTGCATGTGAATTATTCAGTCTGGTCCACTACGTTTCCTAAATATTTGAAAGGATTCTGATGTAAGGTTGAGCACCCGCTTCTACTTATTTGTGGGAGACGTGTCACCAAAGGAAGCAGTGTAAGGGCACAAAGCATTAGGACTGCTTCCTGAAGGCCGAGGTCTGTGACTTGGCTAAAGGTGGATCTCTCTTTATAGGAGAGAGGACTGCTGGGAAACATCCTGGGACTGAGGTTGACAAGGCGGCCTTAGGGATCTGGCAGTCTGGGCCTAAGGTCCAGCTCTGCTACTTACTAATAGTGTGAACTTGACCTCTTTGACCTTGGTTTCCTCACCCGGCAAATGGGATAGTAACACCTATTTCTCTGGGCTGCTATGTCATCTAATGGAAACTTTTAGTCCTGTGGACGCCATAGATCAGTGCTTAAATGGTAGCTGTCCTCTTTGTTATTAACAAGGGCAGGTCTGCGGTTTAGGCTTCTTTCTATTAACGTGTTATTCCAAAGACTGACAATTCCCGGGAGGTCCTGTGCTTTGATAACACATTTGCCCACACACTGGCCATCCGTGACTCCCTGATAGGAAATATAGCATTAATATGATAAATACACTTCTGCGAATGACAGTAACTCCTTAATTACTGAAGTAACTTCAATACTTCAATACAAAGGAACTTTGAAGTAACTTTTCGATCTGGGAATAAAGGTATAAATTCTTTTAAAAAACAGACAACTTTGTTACACATTCTCTGCCTTGCAGAGAGAGAAGGTGGCATCATGCCAGGGACCACGATGCGCGTCTGCCCTTCTGGAGCACGACAGAGCCGAGGCAATGTTCCGCTTTCCAGAAACGAGCAGCGCTAGCCTAAGGCAGTCAGCTTCCTTCAGGTGTTAGGGGAACACTGCCCTACATGATGGTTTCTGTTTCTCTCTTTTCCAGTGTGGGACGATAAAGTAATTTAAAAGGCTCTTCTTGGTGTTGAAAGAAGGATTTTCTTTGGAGAAATGGCAATTTGAGTAATAGTAAATTGGCAGCTTTAAGACTCTTCCCACGCAATAATGGAAGCTTCTAGAGACTTCCATTATTTAGCAAGGTAACCACAACCTCTCCGCTAGAGAAATGCCTACCACGTCATGTGAGATTTATTGCATTGTAAACAGACACGTCTGACAGAGTGAGCCTTAACCTTTTTGGAGACCTGAACCTTTTTATACCCTTCTCACAAAAATTCACACAGGCACATGTCTACGATATTTTGCAGGTCATGTCAGAAGATTCAGGACTATGGATGAGGTCCACAGGCTCAGGTTTCAGGCAGTAGTTCTAACACACGGTTCACACTGCCTCAACTCAAGGACGCCTCAGTGCTGAAGAAAGAGTTGAAAAAGCGCATTGCTCCATCCCTCTTCTCCAGAAAACCTGAGCCTGTTTCCACAAGAGGGACCTTAGAACATGTTCCTATGTCATTCATTACTGCTTATTTCAGCTCTTCGTTTGTGCTGTGCTTCTCGTTTCAAAATTTTAGCACATGCGCTGTTAAAGCAAGTGCCATCTTATGCTTATGGATGGCCCATTTATGGGTGAAAAGTCACTCTTCGAGTTGAATAGAATGACAGTATTTCAGTACTCACATAGGATGGAAGGAAGAGGTCTGAATGAGTCACATACTTATGTTGAACACAACTGGTGAACAAATACACTCTACTCAGTTCATTATTATTCAACTGGTTTACTCTACCAGTCCAATGGAATGAAGTTATGGGCAGTGGGAAAGAGCAAGTTCATGTCTGGATGCTTGTGCCCCAATTTATGTCTTCATGTGTCTCCAGTAGACCGTACAGATAAGACTTTGGCCATCCTCTCTGTTGGGGCAGCTTGTATCTCTCTTCTTAAAAAGTTCTTCGTGAAACAAAACTTAGGTTTTGAAGTTTGGAATGGGTAATGGGGGATTTTTGTTTGTTAAAGTTGACTTTAAAGAACCTAAATTAAGACAGAGTACTTAAAAAAAAAAATAGGCCAAGGGAATGCGGAAAACAAACACACTTGAAGGGAAAGCATAGATTTGCTAAAATACTGACTTTCTTGCCCCAAAACAAAGATGATCCCAACATTTCACTTCATACACCAACGTCTTCTATTTTGCGTTAGATTTAAATGAGCTGAACCCTCACAGTAAAACATGTCACCAAGTTCTAATCACGAGAAACAAATTACTGAAAATGTTTTTCTACTTTATGGAAAAATTTTAGAAATTGTCTACTTAGTCATAAAAATGTTCTCATATCTCCTTTTATCTTTTAAGTCATCCAAGGGCCAGACATTGAGAAACTGGGGTGAAGGCTTTCCCTTTGCTCCAAACAACTCGCAGCCTGTAATGCAGCTTAATTAAATAATTGCCTTGGGCTGTCTTGAGTATAATTAATCATTTAGCCCTAGAGGTTGCTGGAAACAACAGTGGACACAAAACTCAAGGATTCAGGGTTTCTGAGATGTAAAATTTTGATGTTCTCACAGCCCTTGCTGGCCCCGAGCTAGATAAGCGAGTGTAATTTAAGCTGAATGTCATAGATATTTAGTTGTAAACTTGGAGCTGGAAGTATCTCAGAGTATGGAATTTAAATCCAGCAGACTTTGAAATTGGGGCTTTTTTCCCCGGCCAGAGTCGGGGCAGGAAAATGAAGACCATGGGTACCTTTTCCAGGGAAAGACAGGAGGATCCTGGACCGGCCTCCATGGTGGGGAGCGAGGCTGAGTTCTTGGGCAGTGAGTTGAGTATATGAACGGAGGAAAGCGGAACAGAAAGGCATGGTTGGGGGGTGAGGAGGGCCACCTGATGGCACTCTGTCTGGGCTGTGCTCATTGCCTTGATCACCCAATGGATCTGCACCCGGCTGTATCTCTGGCCGTGATCCTGACTGTCAAGGACACGCAGGTGGCTGGAGGCAGAGCTGGGACCCGTGGGCCCAAGCCCGGCGGCTCTCAACCCTCACGCCTTCTTGCTTCCCTCCAGCGCTGTTGTGAGAGGGAGGTGGGGCCTCGCGTGAGAAGCACGAGAAGGAAAAAGAGCCAGAGAAATGGAGTGGCTGCTTTGAATATAGGCAGCCTTCCTTAAAAGTTTAAAATCGTGGTGTTTTTCCTTCAACGGCAACAAAGAGGAATCTATTAAAATTTTAAATTGACTTTGTTAGCTCTCAAAGTGAAAACTCAGGAGGCCTATATTTCCTCCAGATAAGTTTTTGTTTTTCTCAAAATTCAGTTTTTAATCTCCAAAGCAGTGGCGCATCAGGCAATAACACAGCCTCCTGCTGTGGTTCTTAGTATGATCTTTCTTACGACTCCCGGGCAATTCGGAGAGTGGCGCATGGATTTTGACTACCTGTAATAAGGCAACGATTAGAATATGTGAATTTTCCGGACCCGGTTCCATGTTCAACTGCTAATTGAATTTTCGTGGGAAAAAAAAAGACTTCTGGTCTCAATATCAGGCTGTCAGTCATAAGTTAGAACCGCGGTTGGCATGAAATCTAATTTCAGTCCTTTCCTGGGGGAGCCCATGGGTAAAAGTAATATCCCACCTCACGCACGCTGGATACAGCGATCGCAGCGATGTTACTGAACACGCAAGCCCCGTTGGGCTTATTTCCAACGAGCAATTTCCATGAGAACGACTCATGTACAATCAAAACAAATAGGCAGTGTCCCCTACTGCATGCAAAGCCCGGGCTAGCTAAGGTAGAACACACAAGGATATCTCACCCATGGTTCCCGTTTCAAATGTAATTCACGTCCGGGTTTGGGAGGCATGACAGAAGAGGTAAAACGTTAAACTATTATAAAAGATTTTAATAACAGTTGTGACTGGCACATCAGTAATAATAATAGCAGCTTACGATTTATGAAGAGACCACCCCGTGAGTCAGGCTCCTTTCTAAAAACAACAGCTTTATCGAGAAATGATTCACATACCATTAAGGTCACTCTTTTAAAGCATGCAACTCGATGACTTTTAGTACGTTCAGTGAGTTGTGCAAACATCACCACTGATTCTAGAATGTTTTCATCACCCCCCAAAAAACTATGTACCCACCAACAGTCACTCCTTATGCTCTCCCGCCCCATGAGCCAGGCTTTTGAATCCCTCTGTTTTCTCTAATATTTAGAGCAATCTTTTTAGAGCAGGTATCATGAGCCCCTTTCACTAAGAGGAAGCCAATGATAAGAGTCCAAGCTCACTGTAGTGGGTTGAATAGTGTTGCCCCAAAAGATATGTCTAAGTTCCAACAAAGGTACCTAGGAATGGAACCCTTGGAAAAAGGGTCTTTTCGGGTGTGATTTTTGCTCACGATCTCAAGGTGAGCTCATCCTGGATTCACGGTGGGCCCTAAATTCAATGACATGCGTCCTTAGAGAAAAAGGAGAAGACAGGGACATGGTGGGGAGGCTACATCAAGGTGGAGGCAGAAACCAGAGTGACACAAGCCAGGAAACGCCAAGGGTTGCCAGGAGCCGCCAGGAGCCAGGAGGGACCCACGGTGGATCCTCCCTCCAACACTGCTGACTCCTTGACTTCAGACTTCCGGCCTCAAGGACTGT